CAGCCTAGCATTAAACTACATTTTAAATGGCCCACAAACTAGCTTTTAAAAACACTTAAGAGAGGCTGGAGAGATGGCTCAGGGGTTAAGAGCACTGACAGTTCTTGCAGAGGACCCGGGTTCGATTCCCAGCGCCCACATGGTGGCTACAAACCGTCTTTAACTCCAGTTCCAGGGGAATCCGATGTCCTCTTCTGACCTCCGTGGCATTGCATGACACAGGTACACTCACATACATGCAGGCAATACACTTATACACATAAAATAATAATAATAAATTAAAAAAAAAACACTTAAGAATACAAATCAGAATTTGAGACCAACCTGGTCTATATAGGGAGTTCCAGGCCAGTTACATAGTGAGACCATCTAAAAAAAAAAAAAAAAAGAAAAACAGGCACAGTGGCAAATGCCTTTGATCCTAGCACTCAGAAGGCAGAGGTAAGCAGATCTCTGTGAATTTAAGGTCAACATGGACTACATAGCAAGTTCCAGGCCAGCCAGGGGGACCCTGGGGAGACCCCGTCTCAATGAAGGAGAAGGAGGAGGAGGAAGAGGAGGAAGAAAAGGGAGGATGAAGAGGAAGAAGAGGAGAAAGAGGAGGAAGAGGAGGAAGAGGAGAGAGGAGAGAGGATGAAGAGGAAGAGGAGGAGAAAAAGGAGGGAGGAGGAGAAATATATATGAATTGCAGGCTAGCAGGATAGCTCAGCAGGTAAGTGTTTGTTGCAGTATCTGTGTTTACATCCATAGGTTAAGCTATTATAGCAGTCACTGTTTAGATGTTCTTGCTTCTTGCTATTTGTATTTTTATAGTAGATGGAATCCCACCAAAATGGGCCAACAGCCCATGGAAAACAGACGATGCAGAGACCTGAAAGTTCAGCGCCTTGCCACAACGGGAGGAAAATCATCCCACACCTATCACCCCCTCCAAGGCTCAGGGACTTTTGCAGATGAGGTTAGAGGAAAGAATGTAAGAGCTGGAGGAAGGGGTGGGGTGTTACTGGAAGTGTCCTCCAACCACTATGCCAGCAAGCTACAGTCACACCTCCTTCCCACACTCATCAAGGAGTCGATGGGGGAGGTAGTTGCCCCTTCCACCCAATCAGTTGACCTTAGCTGCATGTGGGGAGGGGCTAAGGATATATAAGCCCAGAATGCAACCAGGTACCTCTCCTGCCATCTTATGTGGCTGTCCAGAAGTCAGGGGATCTATATTTGAATGTGGACTTTCCAGTGCAACTGTAAATGGGGGCGGGGAGCATCCACTCTTCTGTAAATAACCCCCTACCCTATGCTCTGTTAGCAAGTTCAATAAACTCCTTAGGATTTATAAAAAAAAATAAATTAAAAAAAAAAAAAAACAGAGCCAGGTAATGAAAACCTTCATTACTCCACCAAAGCTGACCCATGTTGGCAGATCCTTCGGTCTTTGATTCCTTACTCCTATTTCCTCCCTAAACTTTCACTGTAACCTGCTTCAATTTATTTCTGGAAAAATATGTTAAAAATTGCCTTTCTTTGGAATAAAAATTAATTAATTTTTTTAAAAAGTGCTTGAGGCCTGAGAGATGACTCAGCAGTTAAGAATACTTGCTGTTCTTCCAGGAGACCGGGATTTGATTCCCAGCACCCACATGGCAGCTGACAACCATCTGTAACTCCAGTTCCAGGGGATCTGACACCCTCTTCTGACCTCCACAGGCATTGTACTCAAGTGCTGCACTTACATACATGCAGGCAAAACACTCATACACATAAAATAACAACAAATAAAATTCTTTCAAAAAAAAAAAAGAGAAAACAGGCTAGCCACTCCCCCAAAGTGACCAGATGATCTCTGTGATATGCACCCCAAACAAATGAAAACATGTCTACATAAAAATGTGTGTGTGAGCTGGGCATGGTAGCACACACCTTTAATCCCAGCACTTGGGAAGCAGAGGCAGGCCCATCTCTGTGAGTTCAAGGCCAGTCTGGTCTACATAGTGAGTTCCAGGACAGCTGGGGCTACAGGGAGACCCTGTCTCAAAAAAAAAAAAAAAGTTTGTGTGAAATAGGAGCACTGGAGAAGTGACTAAGAGTGGAAACTGCTCTTCCAGGGAACCCACATAGGGTGGCTCAATGTGTAACTCCAGCTCCAGGGGATCCAATGCCCTCTTCTAGCCTCTGCAGGCACTGTACTCACAGGCCCATAACCCCTCACAGACACATACACGCACATGATTAAAAATAAAATAAATCCCAGACAGGTCTACATAGTGAGTTCCAGGCCAGCCCCACTACAGGGAGACCCTGTCTCAAAAAGACCAAAAAAAAATAAGTAAAATCTTTTTAAAATTGTATATAAAATTTTATAGAAATATTACTCATGACAGCCAAAAAAGTATAAATAGCCCAAGTGGCTGTTAACTGATAAATGGACAAATGAAAATGGTATATTTACACAATGCAGTAGAGAGGCATGGAGTTATACTAAGGGCATGTGGCAGACAGCACCAATAAGGCCTGAAATCATCAAATGAAGAAGCCACTTGAAAGACTATAAATTATCACACGTTGCTCTATTTATATGAAATAAGTATGAAGGGGTAAACAGAGAGAGACAAAGGAGATTAATGTTCTCCTAGGCTGACAGTGAACTGGGGGTGACTGATGCAGGGCTTCCATTTGGGGTGATGACATGCTCCGAAATTGATCATGTTGATGGTTGCATAACTCTGAATATATTAAAACGCCCCTGAATTGTACACTTTGATGAGTGAAATGTATGCATGTGAACTAGACTGCAATGAATCTGTTACCCAAAAAGATTTCCCAAAAAAGGGATTCCAAAAAGGTTATATACTGTATGATGTCATTTAAATAACATTCTTGGGATGACAAAGTTCTAGAAATGAAGGCAGATCTGTGATTACCAAGGGGCGGGAGAGAAGAAAGAAAGTGGGGTGAAGGCAATTATCAAAGGGCAGCGAGAAGTCCTTAAGGCGACCAATGGCTCAAGAGGTTGACTGTAATGATAAATATACAAACTTACACATGATAAACTGCACAGAACTAAATAGATGCCAATCTTTTTTTTTTTTTTTTTTTTGGTCTTTTTGAAGCTGTCCTGGAACTCACTATGTAGACCAGGCTGGCCTTGAACTCACAGAGATCCGCCTGCCTCTGCCTCCCAAGTGCTGGGACTACAGGAGTGCACCACCATGCCTGGCTTACTTTTTCTTTTCTTTAAAAAAAAAAAAATTATTTATTTTTATTTTATGTGTATGAGTGTTATGCCTGCATGTAAGTAAGTGCACCTGTGTCGTGCAATGTCCGCGGAGAACAGAAGAGGCTGTCAGATCCCCTGGAACTGGAGTTATGGACAGTTGTTAGCTGCCATGTGGGTGCTAGGATTTGAACCCAGGTCTTCTGCCAGGACACTCAGTGTTCTTAACCACTGAACCATCTCTCCAGCCCCCTCTTTTTTCTTTTATAATATGTGTATATGTGGAGGGGTATATGTATGTGATTCCAGAAGAGGATGCCAGATCCCCTGGAGATGGAGACACAGGCAGTTGTGAGCCACTCATCGTGGGTGCTGAGCATCAAACCTGGGTCTTCTGCAAGGGCAGTTCATGTTCTTAACTGATGAGCTATCTCTCCAGGCCCCACTTTTTTCAACATTTTAAAGTATTTATTTTGCATGGGAGCACGTGTGTGTCTGCCTATGAATGTGGGGGGGTGCCTGCATGCCACGGCCCACATGTGGAAGTCAGAGAACAACTTTTGGGAGTCAGTTCTCTCCTTCCACCACATGTGTCCCAGGATTAAACTCTGGCTAACAGGTTTGGGAGCAAGCGCCATTACCCACTGAGCTACCTCACCAGTCCCAGCTGTCAGTCCTGACTACAATATTAAACTATAGTTTTACAAATGTAGCCATTGAGCTGGGCGTGGTGGCACACGCCTGTAGTCCCAGCACTTGGGAGGCAGAGGCAGGCAGATCTCTGTGAGTTCAAGGCCAGCCTGGTCTACATAGTGAATTCTAGGACAACTGGGCTACAGGGAGATCCCGTCTCAAAAAGACCAAAAAAAAAGTAAGTGGAAAACTGGCATCTTAAAGAGGAGCTACCTAAATCAGAAGTGAGCAGAGATCAGTTAAAATGTACATATTCAATTGTATGCTATTATGCATGAAACAGAGGCATTATTCACCTAACCATGGATGCTGCTCCACTTGGGGGTTTTCAAGATGAAGGGAATGTAGCCATTGAAGAGAAGTTTCCATTTCCTTAGCCTCACATAAATGTAACCATTGCAGAAAACATGGTAGGGGACAGGAAATGTCTGGTTTTCTTACAACTGCATTCAAATCTTGTACATTTATCCCTACGAAAATTTCAATAGAAACAGCATTCTGAAATCACAGAGAACACTGCTCTGTCCTCAGTTCCCCTTCTGATTAGCGGCTCCCTAGTGCAGGGGCCTCATGGGTCCCTAGTAGCTACTCTCTCCCCAACAAGGAAAAGCTGACTTCAAGCTCAATGCCAGGTCTAGAGAATCCAGCCACAATGCACCACCCACACCTTCCTATGATGGTGTTTAAGAAGACAGAATCGGAAACCTGCCCATTAGGAGTTCCAGTCCCATCTCTGCCACTTACTAGCTGTGTGTTCTTTGGCCAGTGACCTAATAGCTTTGTGCCTCAGTGACCTCATCTGTGAAACAGGTATCTACAGCATGCTGTGTGGTAAGTCTTCTGGTTTGTTTTCTTGGTTTGGTTTTTGAGGCAGGGTGTGGATATGAAGCCCAGGCTAGCCTCCAGGCTACCTGGCTTATGGTAAGTTTTAAGTCAATAAAATATCTGTGTACAAACATCAATGTTGAAGTGTGGGACACTTGACCCAGTGTCCACTCTCACGATCTTTCCTATCACAGGGCTGAGGAAAGCTCCCGGGGTCTCAGCAGAATCAGGCCAGTGTGACCTCGGCAACAGGACCTTTCCTAGAACCCACCTGCACATTTGGTTCTGCTGATTAGCGGTGGCCCTGGGCGGCCAGTGCCGCCATCCCCAGGGCGAGTCAGCAGCACGCTGATCTCATATTCGGTGTCGGGGTCAAGGTGCCACAGCTTATAAGTCTGCAGGTTGACGGCGTGCACCTCGGCCCACGGGCCCCGAGCCATGCGGTACTCAATCTCCTTGCGCACAATCGGCCCGTCACCAATGATGGAGTTGGTGTTGAGCTGGATGATGAGGTAGGTGGGGCCTGCACGCAGCAGCTGTGGGGGCGCGATGGGGGTGGGAGGCTCTGCGACGAGATGGGGGGAGAGGTGGAACCAACCAAGGCTACTGTGAAATCCCAGCCCTACCTCTCCAATCCCTCAGCCACACCTGGTCCCAAGCCCCAAGCCCAGGCCTCGTGGGGCTGAGTGCGCATGTGCTGGGTTAGCACACCTGCAAGGCACAGCTAGACACAGCCTCACTGTGCTGGGGTCCCCAACCAGGCCAGACCCCTGACCCCGACAGTTCAGGCCATGCCCAGGGCGTAAATGCATTCCACTCCACTCCCATCCTTAACAGCCCTCCCTGTCTTCCCAGACCCTCCACTAGACGTACTCTGGGGTCCCCACAGGGTTCCAAGGACTGACCCCGCCCCCCACTTCACCCTCAGCCCATACTGACTTCTTCAGTCCCCTCCAAACCCCCATGTTCCCGCCCCGCTGGAGTTGAGAGCTGAGTCAACAACCTGGACTTTGCCTCACTCAGCGCTCACCTGGACCCCATCCCCCGACGCCCCGCCCATCCAACAGGCCTCGCCCCTGACCAAACCTAGACACCATCAGGACCATCTGTTCCACAGCAGCATCAATCCACCTCGAACACGTCCCTTTCGGGTCACGCCTTTTGACCACCCCCCTCGAGCCTTCCCAAGGCCTGGATGCTGACCTTTGACGATTAGCTCGGCGAAGTTGGAGACGCCGGCGCCGCGCGGGGCCTGGGACACACAGCGGTACAGGTCCTGCTCTGCCCGGCCTACGGCGGCCAGCGGGAAAGTGGCCAGAAAACGCCTGTGGCTGATGTGCCGCACCCCGGCCGCAGGTACCAGCACCCCACTCTGCCGCTGCAGGGGAAGATGGGTGAGAAAGTCAGGCCCGCAAAGGCAGGGATCCAGATCTCAGTTCGACCTAGGCAAGGAAGTGGCGATGGTCCTGACCCTGTATATCTGTCCCAACACTTTATATTCCAGGAACAGAGCTCCGCCTGGGAGTGAAGGAGAACCCAAACCAGCAGAGCTCAGCCTGGAGTAAGCAGAACTCAGTGTATAGGTGCTGGGGTATAAAGAGATCACCCAAAACCCCCAAAGGAAACCAGGCCTAGAAGAAACTATCCACCCTTCTTACCGGGACCCCCTCACCTGCAGAAGGAAGTGCTCTGCCTCAGCGGGGCGGCCTGCTGCCATACACTGGAAAGATGCGTTCTGGCCAGCATTGACTTCCACATCACCCAGGCGGGAAAAGTGAGGGGCCTTTGCTGCAGAGTAAACAGCCAGAGATGCAGCATGAGATGGGCCTGCACACCCTGCTGGGAGGAGCCGAGGCCACCCTCACCCCTGTATTGGCTGGGACTCACCACAGGGGTAGCTCAGTAGCAAGATGTCATCTAGGCCCATGTAGCCCCTGCGGTCTGAAGAGATGAGGGCCTCAAACAGCACCTGAGGAAATGAGAGGGTGCTTATCAAAATATCCCTCCAGCCAAGCCTCGACCCCAATCCCATCCCTGTCAACCAGCAGAAGCCAGCTAGTTCATAGGTACAGGCAGAGAGAACAAAGGCAAGGTCAGTGCTACAAGTTCCATCCCAACTCTGGATCTCTCTCTCTCTCTTCTCTCTCTCTCTCTCTCTCTCTCTCTCTCTCTCTCTCTCTCTCTCTCTCTCCTCTCCCTCTCTCTTGGTCTTTTTGAGACAGGGTCTCCCTGTAGCCCCAGCTGACACTCACTATATAGACCAGGCTGGCCTTGAACTCACAGAGATCCACCTGCCTCTGCCCCTGAGTGCTGAAGTGCTGGGATAAAAGGCATAGGCCACCACACCCAGCATTGGACAAGTCTCTTAAAGCAGCAAAATTCTTCCAGGCCAGGGTTTTTCAGGCAGGCACTGCTCCAACTCACCCCTAATACTGGCCCCAGGCTATTTCTATCAACAATGACTTCTGATGCTGTACCCACAGTGACCCAGACTAACACCAACCTGGATCCCAGATTGACTCCTGATGCCGAAGAGAGATTGATTCCAACCTAGTCTGGTCTCGGGGTGGCCTCCCCACCCTCACCCACCAAACCCAGGCTGACCAATGACTAAACCCGGCCCACCTGATATTCATTAGGCCAGAAGGTGCTAACAGCCAGCTCAGCCTGGTGCCACTGCCGGCCATGGGATCCAGTCATATTCCACACGGCACTGCCCAGGGGGCCCCCATTCACACGCACATAGACACCTAGGGTGCCTGGGCTGTGCCCATCCCGGCTGTACAGGAAGTAGCTGAACTGAACACAGTGGGTGTCATTCTCGCTCAGGCTCTGGAAGATGATGTGGGCCCTCTGGCCTGGGGCATGCTGGGAAGCATTGACCATCAAATAGGAACCTGGAAAGAGAGAGAGAAAGAAGAGGCAGGAGGCCAGGAGACCTTAGGGGAGGCCAGGGTCAGGTGGGCACTGAGAAGGCACAGTACCAAATGACTTTAGACATTCAGACCCACCAGGAATCAGGGGTTTGGGCTTCTGAGTTCTGATCCCAGCTCTGACTCAAAAGGGTAGGCCCCTCTCCTCCCCAGGGTCTAGTTCCCAAAGGAGAGGGCTGGGGCAGGAAAAAACACAAACTCAACCTTGTCAAAGCCCATATGGCCCTTCACCATCCACAGGTCACAGACAGAACCTGTGCCCTGCCTGAGTCACTGCTTTCTCAAGCTCTGTGCTGCCTTCAAAGGCAAGAACTAGGCTGTTCATCTTAGGAATCAAGAGCCTCGCACAGGGCAGGTCCTCTGAGGCTACTGCTTCCAAAGCTTCGCTCACTTCCTCCTGTGCTGTGTGCTTCCCTCTGGCCGTGATCATTCATAAAGCATGTGACTATCTTGCCACCAGCCTGTCATGCCTCAGGCCTCCTCTGTGTCCTCACAGAAGCTCTGAACCCAAGTTTGATGAATATGTAGGACAGAGACTGAAAGAATTAACCTCCCTTCCAACCCCCACTGGAGTCTAGATTCCAGGACACAGACTTCCCTGATTTCCAACCTGAAGACCAGGCTGTGTGATGGGAATATGGCGGGGCTCCTCAGGACCTGGCTGGGGGTTGTGGCTTCCCTTGGAGTGGGGAAGCAGCTGCCAAGGGGAATCCTAAAGCCACCCTTACACAGCAGCCACCAGGCACTGCCTCCTCCCAGGCTTGGCTGTCAGCCAAAACAAGTACATTCACAGCCAGCTCAGGAGGGCTCCCCAGGGACTCAGCTGGAGGAATCTCATTCATCTCTGTGAGCCTGAAGCCCCTGGAGATGACTACTGCTTAAGTCCTGGCAGGGTAAGAAATGAGCCTCCAGGTCCCCATCCTCACTGGAACCTTGGAAGGGGCACATCCCAATCAAGACATCCTTAGCGAGCTCCTGTGGCCTCCTTCTGTCCTCTCCACTGTTCTTGCCTCTTCTGCATCCTCCTTAGACTGTCCACCAAGCATCCCCCTCCTCGAGGATGGAGCACCAGGCCATGCTCAAACCTGAGCCTCTCTCTTCCTCTTTCACCAAAGTAGAGAGTCAGAGCCACACTAGTGGGCAGGTCTGAAAAAGGTGAATCCAAGCCAGCACTCTTGTGCTGGGCTGCTGTTGGGTCTGGCAGTGCACAGAGGCTACACGGGGCTCTGCAAGGTAGGTACCTATATGAATCTCTCTCAGACTAGCCAGACCGTAACACCACTAAAACAGTCTTCTACATGGAGCTAAAAGCCCTCAGTAACAGACATGGGCAAAGGACCACAGTGCTGGGGAGAGCCATGGTGGGAGCTGGTGTCTGCTCTAAGAGCCCACCCAGCCAGCCAGGCCCCAAGGGACCTCCTTTCTATCGCTCGGAGTCTGCCTACCACTGAGAACTTCTGCTGCCCTGGCCCACCCTTGCCAGCAGCTTCCATCTCAGCCATAAGCTGAGGCTACCTCAGCTGGGCCACCTCTGTAACAGGGCACAGGGGACCAGTATTCTGGCTGGCTGTCCTCAGATCCTTCATAACTCTTATGGTCTGTCTTTCAACACAGGCCTTATCAGGAATGATGTGGCTCTTTCAGCCGCCATCTCTCTTATCCTTTGCTTTTTTCTTTTCTTTTGTTCAGTTTTATTTTGGGGACAGTGTCTTGCCAGGTAACCCAGGCTGGTCTCAAATTTGTGACCCTCCTTCATGTCTTTCTCTTAATTCTCAGTTGATTCTGCACCCGGAGAAGAAAGCTATGGGCCTCCCCCTCAGGTATCCTCAACAGTACCAACTGTAAAACTGACACCCAGCATGTTACCCCTGTGCCCTAGGAAGTGAGTTACTCTTCCTACTTCACAGTTAAGACAATGAAGGCTCAGAGAGGTTAAGCAACTTGCCAAAGGTCACTGAACTGGACAAGGAATTGAACCTTTGTCTTTATGACTCTGGAATGAACCCTCACAGCCCATCATCTGAGTAGGAGGCCAGTACTAGTAACTATGTAACTAAGCGCCTAACTCCCAGTCTAGCACTCAAGATATCCAAAGGGCCCTGTACTGAAGTAGGGACAAAGTCAAACTTGGGAAGGATCCAGGGCTCCCCCAAAGAGTGCAGAGGGACAGCCAGGCCCCATGCCAAAGCTCTTCAATGTCTTCAAGTCCCAGGAAGAACTAGAATCAGAGGAGAGATTCGGGGAGAGCTAGGGGAGGCCTGGTAGACGTGGGGAGGACCCCAATGTAAGCTGCAAGAGGAACAGTGTAAATAAAGTAGGTTTTAACTAAGGGTCTTGGACTACTCAAACCTCCCATTTTACAAGTGAGACTAGCCAGCATGCACAGAGTCCAGAAAGCTCCACTTTCACTGTTAAGAATAACATTATAGATACAGAAACAGGTAAGGCCCAGAAACAGGTATGCCCCAGGTCACACAGCAGATGGGTACAACTGTTCCTGGAAGGAGACAAAGAAGAGCAATGGAGAGGAGGCTCACCGTGGGGCAGGTCTGCAGGGGCCCGGGTGCCAGGGTGGATCCGGACTTGCTCCCACTGGAAGTCGTCATACTGGGCCTGGCTGTACTCACAGGGCACCACCGGGTCACTCGCCTCCTCGAAGGTGCAACCAGCTATGAGGGCAAGTCTGGTTAGCCAAGCTAGCAGAGGCCCCTTCAGGTTCCCCCACCATCCCTTCCTTCTATCCAGACCCATCCTCTCCCCTCCTTATCAAGGGTCACTCCAGGTAACAAAACTCTCCCTCTCCCACCCTCTCTCTTTCCCAAGGCCCTCCCCTCACTGTCCCCTACCAATACCAAGACTTCCCACTACCCATTACCCCAGCACTTCCCAGGACACCAACTGATCAATCATCCACCAAGGCCTTACTTAGTAAAAACGAGCCATTGTTACTGCAGGATCATTGAGCCTCACCTCAATCTACAAGGATTTATAGATCTCTCCATTTCACTGGTGGGGAAATGCATGAAGCTAAGCACCAAGTGCAGAGTGTCACCTTCTGTGTCAGGTCAATATGACAGACATCAAGGGGATTCAACCACTGCCCAAAGTCACCCAACTTAGATCTCTGATTTCAGGAATGTGATACACAGAAGCATGGTCATATGTGGACTGGGTACATATGGGACAACAGGATTTTTATTGAGAACCAAGATTAATCTGAATGGGAGGAGAGGAAGGGAAGGTCCTGAGGTCCACTGCATCTCAGCTGGCTCTTCAGCACCTGGAGTTGCCACCTCATAAACCTGAGCCACACTGGTTCAGGAGGGAACTTGAAATGGCCCCAGCATTCACTCACTGCAATTGCAGCCCCAGCACTATGGTCAGCAGCAGAGTGTTGAGAGGGTTGGTACAACATCATACCAACCCCTGTCCTGGTTGCCTGCCAGCCAACCACAGGTACTTCCCCCATTTGGCAGATGGGGTGACTGACACCATACAGGACAGTAGCTCAGCAGTGGGTGGTAACTTGGGACAGACTTGGGATTGAATCTTGACTGTTCCATTTACCAGCCCTAGTGACTGTGGGCAAGTTGCTTCTCTTTTTGAGCCTCGGTTTGGTTTCCACATCCACACAGGTGGTTGCTGGAGATTTACATTAGCATATATGAGTATATGCTTAAGCCTACCACTTGCCCCTGTGGTAGGCTTAAGGAACAGGGGTTGGATTTGAATCAATATCCATCAAGTGCCAAGCCCAGAGTTCCTCCCAGCCCCCGAGAAAGATGAGAAGGAACAGACTGAGCTGCTTCAGGGTCTCAAAGAAGGGGAGACAGGGTGGATGGGAACCAGGAAGTGCATGGCACAGGCCAGGCAGGCAAGTGGTTTCCCTTTGAGGAGCCTGTGTTTCATCCGTAGCAATGGCTTCTTTGCATGTTCCCACAGGTCATGTGAAAACACACTGGCAGAGCCAGGCATGACAGGGCTTGCCATTGTTGGGGTCTCCCTTTTCTCTCCTTGAACCGCCTGAGAATGAGAAATGGTGAGATGTGTGCAATAAGTCTGCACCAAGCACTCTGGGTACTGAGGGAGCTGGGACAGGAGCCCACTGGGCTCTCTGCCTTTTTATTTGGAAAGCTCCAGTCAGCACGGTGCCCTGAGGCATGAGGAAAGTGGGTTTTAATGTCATTTGTTCAGGGAGGGCCTCAGCTCTCCCCCTGGAAAAAGCCCACCAACCTATACAGAAAGAGGGTGAGGCCAGTGGGCTTCCTGGAGGAGGGGACCACTGACATCCACCTGTGCTGGGCCTGCCTATGAGGTCCCAGTCAATCACTGGGGCAGAGACTACAGAAAAAAATAAGAAAGATATGGTCCCTGGATGGGCCAGGCCCTTCCTGTTCCTACACAAGAACAAAACTGCTTCCCCAGGCATCTCCTCCAGACCTCCGACAGTCCTTAGCCAGGCACACGGCCCATCAACCCTCCCACCCCACCCAGGACTGACTGACTTCAGACCAACAGCCACACTGGAATCCTGACCTCAGCTTCATGATTCCCCCAGCTGACTGACCCCACAAAGGTTAACCTTAACCACATTAGCTCCCTGTTGGATGTACCTGGCCAGAGACCCCAGTCTTATCCAAATAACACTCCCCTGGACATCAACCAAATGGCCACCACACTGACTGGACCTCTGATCTCTACTAAATGACCTTTCTATCTGACTACAGTCAGGGTGACCTCTCAGGCTAAGTGATCCCATCCAGGGTGACTTCTTAGCCAGTGTGACCCACCCCTCTCACTGATCTCTGCTCAGCCCCAGCCCTGGGTCTATAGGCCAGGCCCAGTTCCAGCTCCATCTCTTAGAAAACAGTATCTCCAAAAGAGAGCCCAAATCCCCACCTCCCCAGCTCTCTCAGTGATGAGAACAACCTGTCCCCCCACACACACCCTATCCTCCCTCCCCCCACACACAATGAAAAGCCCTTGAATGACTCAGGAACCAGAGCCCAAGAACCATCACAAGACAAGGGGCACCAATTACTGCCATGATGACCCTCACCACCATGACCCACCTGTGTGCGGAACTTAGCATTCAGAAAGTAGCTACTGTTATTATTTGACTGATGGGAACTGTGCAAGGCTCCGAGACATGCAATTGCTTGCCCAAGGTCACACAGCCACAATGTGCAAAAGTTCCCAATTAAAGCACCTGTCTTTATCTAAGAAAACCTAAACACAGACAAAATAAGACCCTAATATGCCTCTGGCCACATATATTAATTCTGTTTCATGCACAACACATGTGTTCCCTAACAGTGCCATGCAGGATGAGAGGCACAAGACGACTAAATCTCTGTCTTGTAGGGCCAGGGATGAAGTTCAGTGGCAGGGGGCTTGTCTAGCATGTGTGAGGGCCTCGATTTGAACCCCCTAACACACAGGGGTGGGGGGGATGATTCTGTCTTGCTTTTATGGGCCTCTCAGCCTGAGCAAGGGTGAGGAAATGAAACTAAACAGAGAAGGGTCAAGAAACTTAGAAGATTTGTGGGGGCTATATCTGAACTCAGCCTGGAAGAAGAGGTATCACTCTAGCCAGGAGTGTTGTATGGGAAGGCATTTGGGGCAAAGGACCACAAGGGGGAGGGGAGAGGAGGGGAGAGGAGGGGAAGGGAGAGGGGAGGGGAGGGGAGAGGTGGGGAAGGGAAGAGGGAGGGGAGGGGAGGTGAAGAGAGCGGGGGAGGGGAGAAGTCTATATTGTCCCCTGCACTGGGAGGAACTCAGACTAGCTATCAAGAGTGGAGCCAGAAGAGGCTGAGGTCAGATCCAGATGCCAGAGCAGAGAATTCTCAGATTCTGATGGTTAGGCAGGCAGCATCTACAGAGTACAATGAGGTCAAGAGGGAACTGAGGACCAAGTTAGGAAGGAGCCTGGAGCCAGATGTTGAGTATTAGCAAGGAAAGGGGCCGAGAGTCTCCACCTAGATACAAACAGCACACACTACATCAAGAGAGATATACAATATGTTCATGTGTGTATGTGTGTGTGTGCGCACGCGCACACACACACACACACACACACACACACACTTGCATGCTTCCTTTCCCTAGCCTAGTCTCAGTCCTGGAGCACAGTCTAAGTTAGGCTGAGAACAGACAGGGAAGACTAGGCCCCTCTTCGAGTACCTCATCTCTACCAGGGGCTGCTGAAGAGGGTGGGCTAAATCAAGCAGGACCCCAATGCTCCCCCAGCCCCAGTTCCAACTGGCCCAACAACATTCCTTTGCTAATCTCCCCAATCTGGCCAGGCGGTTGCCTAAGCAACCGTCAGCCACAATTTGGAAAGAAGGGGGATGGCTGATCCACATCCCACAGCCCTGGGGAGGTGGGGGAGATGATGTCAGGGACCAGCAACCTCTGGAAGAGTGTGGGAGGGTTCTTGGTGGGGGGAGTGTCTCCACATCTCCACTTGCATGCTTGTGTGTGTGTGTGTGTGTGTGTGTGTGTGTGTGTGTGTGTACCACAAGCATGATGCACCAGACTTTCCTTGTTTTGGACAGGGTAGACAGGGAGCAGTGCTCTGGGCCTACTGCACCTGCAGCCTTGTGTTTTCTGAAGACCCTGGGTAAACAGAGCTTGTTTGCAGTAAGATTTTCATTCTCTCTGTTTTGTCAACAAAACATCCAGTTCCCAAGGGTGGCCACAAATGAAACAAACTTCTCTGGACAGATTGTAAATTCGCAGGCTGGGACCTCACACCATGATAATCACAGCCCCAATGATGGCCTAGGGATCCCCATATACAGTCCCAACCACAACACCAGCCTATTTCACCATGAGTCTTCTAGATCACTGAACTCAACCTTGGACATTCTTGCCCAACACAGCCCAGTCCTGGTTCTTCATCCAAGTGGATGCCACATGTCCCAGAAGTGCCTACCAGAGCCCTGAGTAACTGATGAGCAAGAGCACAGGTAGGGCTGGCACATAGAGCCACATGAGTTCACCAGCCAGGGGGACCACCCAGGACTGGCCAATGGCAGAGAAAGCTGGAGTCACCTAAGGAACCAACCCGAGCCCGGCATTGCCAACATTCTGCCATGCCAGATGCAGTGGGGGAGCCCAGAGCAGACCCTTTCCCATCTCCTTCACTAACATGCACCATGAATTCCAGTGTCAGCAGGAGACCTGCCATATTGACAGGCCAGGGCAGGACACCATGCAGAGGTCAAAGGCCAAGGGAAGTGTCTCACTGTGTAGAAGTACAGTGGGCAGAACCCACAGACCGCCTACAGGGCAGGTGCCCTGTGCCACATAACGACATGGTATATGACAGAGATGCACAGGTGTGCACAGACTATGGTGGGAAGATCAGTACTTGTAAAGGCTCTACGGGAAGGGAGTGCTGTACAGAGCTATGATGGGATGTGCTGAAGGTGCAGGGCAGCAGCTTCACAGTGCAACAGACACAGAATCCCATAATACAATGCAAAGTCACAGAGCACATGACGTGCAAGCCCCCAGCACTGACAGCTGCTAGGCATGGAGGAGCTAGTTAGAACTTGATGCCACGGGGAGAAGCCACATCCATCATGGTATAGCCCAGCACAGAATGAGTACTGAGTGTGTGGCAGAATGCAGGGTGGTAGGCTCAAGATTTCCTAATTCAACT